CAGCAGCAGGTAGAAGCTAGCAAACGAAGCGGCGAGCAGAGACGCAGTGAGCGCGAGGGGCGCAGAGAGCAGCGCGTCCGCCGTGGCGCCGCACCAGAGCATGCTCTGCACACAGAGCAGCGCGGCACAGCACTGACGCTGTGCGCCGCCCGCGACGCCGGGCGATGTGCCGGCCTCAGCGGCGCTGGCCGGCGACCTCTTTGCTGCCTCGCGCCTCTCGAGCGCGTGCAGGGTGACGACCTGACCGTTCAGCGCGCGAGATCATCCGAGACTACCCGAGACTGCCCGAGAGACTACCCGAGATTGCCCGAGAGACTACCCGAGATTGCCCGAGATTGCCCGAGAGACTACCCGAGATTGCCCGAGATTGCCCGAGATAGCCCGTGCGGGGTGGCGACCTGGCCACTCATGGACGTACTCCACAGAGCGTACTGCGTCGGCACGAGGCCCCCGCCGTGCTCCCAGCGCACCGCCAGCGCGCACGGCGGCGCGAGCCACTGCCGCAGGTAGAAGAGGCACGTCACCAGCCAAACTGTGACCATCGCCATCGACTGCTTCGCCTGCTCGCTCTGTGCGGTGAACACCTGCACCACGCCCTGAATGAAGAGGGCGCCGAAGATTGCTGCCGGGGTCGACGTCCCGTCGAACCCTCGCTCGGCACCCGTCGCGCCCGCGTGGGTCGCGACAGAGCACACTTCGCCGACGCTTGCGTGCGCAATGGCCGTAGCTGCGAGCATGCACGCCGGCACGATGACGCGCAAGGTGCGCTCACGCGAGGCCACGAGCCATGGCCGGCCCGCTAGGACGCCCGACAGGAAGGTACACAGGGCGAGGCTGGCGAGAGGGATGGTGAGGTGCAGACCACTCATGTTCATGTGCGTTTGCGCGCCCACACGGCGGCTGTAAAGAGAGAATTTTCAGCTGACGAACCACCAGCCCGACGCTCACTACAAGTGACAGCCGCCTCACAGCAGACAGGCTCGAGAATTTTGCGACAACTATCTCACAACACTAGGCAAGGGAGTCCTTCTCCCACCCCTCTATACAATGGCTATACAATATGCCTCCCTCTGTACAATGGCTCTGCGGTGGGAGGGGACGAAGCGGTGCAGTGCCATGCCTTGGGCCATGGCACCCCGCACACCCGAACGATTGCGTCCCACCGCCCCGTCCACAGCGCGGGTTCGGTGCGTCAGAGCCCCGCGTCGCGCAGCCGGCAGCGGGTGCGGGCAATCTCATGCGCGATGCGGAGCTCCTCAGAGTACATCCTCCCGTCGTTGGCGCCGAGGACGATGTTCGGTTGTGGGGGTGCACGAGGAGGAGCGACGTGCTCCTCCGCTGGCGGGCCGGAGTCCTCAGGCAGGGCGGTGCCTGCCGGGTCTTTTGCCAGAGGGAGCTTGTGTTCGGGCGAGTGGCGGGCTGCCAGCCGCGCCCGGATCAAGGCCGCGCGCTCAGTGGCACTGATGTCCAACGCAAGGCGGTTGCGTTCGTGCTCCCGCTCCGCCGCCTCCGCCTCGTCAAGTGTAGCCTGCGCCTGCGCCTGCGCCTGAGCCTGCGCGGGGCGTCCCGCATTGGCATGTCGGATGGAAATTGAGATTGAGTCCAGAATCGGCACTTGGGTGACGGGGTCAATGATGGTCGGCAAGACGTCGACCGGAAAGGTGTGGAGGAAGTGACCCTCTTCCGCCCGGTTCGGGGAGGCGTACCGGGAGGTGGCCGGTGGGCCGGGCGCGCCGCCGCGCAACCGTGCTTTGACTTCGATGGTGCTTCCTGCGCGCACACCGTAGGATGCCAGCGGGGCGTCGTCTTCCAATAGCCGCGACTGATGGTAGAGGCCGCCAAGCGCACCAGCGGGGATCGAGGAGCGTTTTGCACACAAGCGTCTCAGCTCGAGACCGCTTGTCTGAGCGCTGACATCGAAGAGGTGCGTTTGCCCTTGTACGACGACCTGGACCTGAATGAATGCGGTCCAGAGCGCCTCAGCCGCGTGCCCATTGAACGCCTCCCTGTCCTCCGCGCGTATGGCGAGGCTGATGACTAGGCAGGCGGCGAGCAAGCAGACGAGAGCCAGCGTCGGGGGTGGGCGTCTCCACCACCAGCCAGTGCGCGATCCGACGCAGTTCGCCTCGCCCCCGTCCCTCCCTGGGTGCGCGTCTTCAACATCACCAGCCTGCCCGCGCTGATTCCAAGCATTCCACCCTGGCCGCCCGCAAGCTCCATCTGACGGCAAGCGGCGTGAGCACGTCGAGGCGCAGCGCTGCGGTGGAACCTCGCCTCCAGCGCAAAGGCAGACTCGCGAAGGGACTGGCGGTGAAAGAATGAACGCGCACACCACGTATTGCACCGCAAAGGTGAGCGGAAGCGCACAGAAGAGCAAAGGGTGCCCCGGCATGAAGATGTTGGGCCAACGAGTCGAAGCCAAGCCGAACGAAACGCAATCAACATTCTCATGTGTGCTCGACTCGCACTCGGTGCCCAATTTTCTCATGTGTATGCACCCTTTTGAGCAAGCCTTCGATGTTGATAAATGAGAGAGAAATTTGCACAGACAGAGAGAGTTGCACTACAAAAGAAAGTCAAAGTGCTCCACGAACTCCAAGTGCTCCAAGAAACCGAGGCATACTCCCGAACGGAGACGCCTGGCGACTCGACGGGCAAGAGACACACGTTGTCCTCTACCCTCGCATTGCGTACGGATGCTACGTGACGATCACTACTAGGTGTTGAAGGCTCAGGCGGCCAAGAACACAGCGGCCCAGACGAGGACTTGGATCACGACGACGATGCCAGCAGCAGCGCCGCGCTTGACGACCGCGAAATCGGCCTCTTTTGCCCAATCTGCCATCTTCGCGACCCGCCGCAGCTCCGGGTCCGTCTCCCCCTCGCCGAGAGGGGCAGCGGGGAGGGCGGCTGCCCCGAGGTGGGCGAGCTTCCAGACACGATCCGAGAGACGTTGGAGGTCCTCTGCCTCGGCGGCAGGGCCTCGCGGTGGCGGCTGCTCACTCGCCCGCTCCACCGGCCGGAGCACGCACACCAGCTTCGGAGGCGAGCCTCGGGCGAGCAGGTGGGCAGCCTATGTGCAAGTGAACATGATGTCGCGGCTGCCGTTGGCAGGCACCAGCACCGGCGGCAGAGAGAGAGCGCGCTTTGGAGAGAGAGGGAGTACGCTCGCCGTCGACCGCAACCAGAACGTCGAGGAGCCGGAGGCCGGCGGCAGCGGCGGGCGAGGAGTCGTTCAGCACGACGACGCGCCTCGCGGGAGAGATGACCAACATCGCAGCGCCGGCGCCAGCCTCCCATGCTTGCGCGGGCCAAAGCTGCTGCTCGCCAGCAGCCGCGGCCGCGTTGGCCAATTCGGCCGCCGCCACACCGTCCAGTCGGACGTAGACCCGCTCGACCGCGAGCGCGCCTTCGACGTCAGCGCACATCCGCATGCCTGAGTGGCGGCCGCAGCACACTGGCCGAGACGACGCCCGGCGCACCCGAAGGGCCCTTCGAATCGGCTTTGGGTGCTTCGCCGAACTGCCCACGCTCGGCGAGATCGCCTGCACGGCGAGCGCCTGCATGGCAAAGACGGCCAGCACGCAGAGGAGAGCGCAGCCCGCCATGCCACTCACAGTCTCACTGAGCTCTCACGACCGTGGGTTTCATTAGCTCCGATGGTGCTATGCTCCATCGTGCTGTTGTTTGCGCTCCAGCGTTTCGCAACGGGCCTCATCCTAGCACCGCCAACTTTTGGGTTTGTGCGTGGGCAGCGCGCCGCCACTCGCTTGTGCTCCCAGAGCTTACCGGTGGTCCATGTGAGCTGCAGCCGTGCGGCCCCGACGGCGCGCTGCCGGTCACACATGACTACTGCGGATCCGGTGCCGGTCGTGAGCACACCAGTCGAGCCCGAGGCCAGCCGAGAGCACAAGCGCTCGAGGCCCGCCAGGAGCACGCCCTCCCACTTGGAGGCTGGGCCGATCGCACTCTCGTGGGCGGCAGGCGGTTTGACGCTGCTGCTGCAGCACCACTTTACCGATTGGACACAGGCTGGCGCGGATGCGGCCTACCTCTCCCAGCGCCTGCAAGACGTGGGCGTTGGGCCGCTCCCGCAACCGGACCTGCAGGTCGCTCTGCTCTGGGCATACCTGTACGCCATGAGCGTTGGAGTTAGCTTCGCCATGCCTGGAATCGTGCCCGCGGTGCCCGCCCCTCTCTCGGCCCTCGACTCTCCTCCCATCCCATGGCACGACGCGCACCTCCCGCCGCAAACAATAGGCGCAGTCTAAGGCGGACGCCGAGGGCGCGGTCGAGCCGTTGAAGGTGCCGAACTCCAGCGGTCGCCCTCACCCTCACCCTCACCCTCACCCACCCTCGCCCTCGCCCTCCAATCCAGGTCCCCTATCGCACCACCAAGCGGCTCATGCCGCAGCACGCCCTCACCGCGGTCGACCTCTCGTACATTGCTCTCAACTCGCTCTGCCTGCCCGGCCTCTTCTACCACTTCGTCACGCTCCTGCGCAGCTGGGGGTGCCACGCACACTCGCACGCCCACCATTAAGTCCCCGCACCTCTTGACTCGCCAAGCGAGCCGCCAGGCTAGAATTTGCCGTGAGTGGCCGAGACCGAGATTACACACCAGATTGCCCGAGATTACACCCGAGAGTACCGCCAGGCTCGACTTTGACGCGCCGGCCTGCGGCATCTACCCCGAGAAGCCGCTCCTTCTCCTCACAGAGACGGTGTGTGCCGCGCCAAGGGAGGGCCATCTCGGTTGTCATCTCGGGTAATCTCGGGTAATCTCGGGTAATCTCGGGTAATCTCGGGTTTGCCGCGCCAAGGGAGGGCCGTTCCCTACGACACGTCGTGTCTTGTGTGGCTCGCATGTCGTTCGCTTGTTGCTGTTTGCCCTCGCCACTGCCACACGAGCTCGCCTCCTCTGCGCAGCTGCCTGAGCTGGCCATGTACCTGCCGCTCTACTTCATCACGTACGAGTTCGTCTACTACTGGTGGCACCGGAGGATGCACGAGGACCCCCCCCCCCCTCCCTCGCTCCCGCCGCCTGCCCCCCTCCGCCGGCACTCTTCGCCCGGCTGCCCCGTGCCCAGGTGCCCGTCCTCTACAAGTGGGTGCACAAGCACCACCACCAGCAAACCTACCCCGACCGCGCCGTCATCGACACGCTCAACACAGGGTGCGTCGAGTCGCAGGTCGGCACACACACGCGCGCGCACACGCACGCCTTGCACTTTGAGTGCCGTGCCGGCTCCTGTACCTAAACGTGGAGTCTCGAGGGTTAGCCTGGCCCTTACCCCACCATAGGTTGGCTTGTACTCACAGCTGGCGCTGCTCTGGGCCTTTGGCAAGCTCGGTCTGGGCAGGTTGGAAGTGGCTGCGTCGCCCGGAGGCGCTTCTCCCCACCGCCTGACCCCCGGTCACCCCTCCCCCCTCCTCCGCAGCCTCCCCGCCAGTCTCTGGTTCTTCACGCTTGCCGGCTGGATGTCGGTGCTCGAGCACGACCGTTTCGAGCGCGCCCCTTCGACGTGCTGAAGACTACCCGAGACCACCCGAGACTGCCCGAGACTGCCCGAGAGTAGGCGCGCTCTGCCCTTCGACGTCTTCAGCGCGAGGGACCACCACATGCACCACGCCTTTGTCAAGTGCGACTCTAGCCGAGACCCAGCGAGATGCAGCTGGCACGGCAAGGGTGTGAGGGACCCCCCCCCCCCCCTCTGAGTTTACTGCATTGTCGGTGGTCATGGGTCACGGTGTTCATGCCTCTCCCTGAGAACGCACAGTGCCTCGCGTGTAATGAATGACCTGAGTGCCGCTTGCCGCAGGTGCAACTACTCTCCCTACGGCAGCTTGTGGGACCGCGCGTTTGGCACATTCAAGCCCTTTCAGGTGAGGCCCAAGACTGGCGACGGGCCAAATGCGGGACTCTGAAGGTCGAAGGGAATGAAATAGGGAGAGCGGAGAGCCTTTGGGCTTGAGCATTTCAGAACTGCATAGAGCCGTAGGGTCGATTCCGCATGAGTGTGTGTGTGTGTGTTCCGCATGGTACGGGACCCCTCGATCTCGTCTCGCCCTCCCTCGCTGGTGTGCTCATTGTTCGCATAAAATTCTTTTCTCTGCAGTCCCGTGCCCCCCCCCCCTATATCGATCTATGTGTCCAGTCCGAGCCTGACTGTTCTTCACCTTCCTACCTAACCTAACCCCCCCCAGGGAGTCGGCCGGCGCGAGCGACGGCCGCCGAGCTTTACGCCGACATACAGCGAATATTGTGCACCGAACGCATGCTAATGAGGGGGGACCGGACAGCCTGCTTCCTTCTCCCGGACTGCAAGACAGTGGCGGTGCGGACAGCAGCACGCCGTTCTCGGGTCCGAGGGCAGCCTCAACTGGAGTAGGGAAATTTGGATTTATTTTTGGTCAAACGCCTGCTGGGGGCAGCTTCGCGGAAGTATTCCGGAAGCCGGATGATCCCCCAGCAGGCACACACACACGGAGGTGACAGGGGATGGTGGTGGGTTCAAGCAAAGAAGGGGAGGGAGAGAGCGACGCGGCGAGCGCAGGCGGCGAGCGTGCACGTCGCCTGTGCGGCGTCTTGTTCACTCCCCTTTGAGCTACCTTTGTGCCCCCTTAGGGGCACCCCTCCTGCGCTGCGCGTATGGTCACCCCTCCCTTCCGCCCTGTTGTTTTGGATGCCCCGCTCCGAGAAAGCATGTCTCGCAGCTGCGAGAAAAGACCTTCTCGGGTCCGAGGGCAGCCTCAACTGGAGTAGGGAAATTTGGATTTTGGTCAAACGCCTGCTGGGGGCAGCTTCGCGGAAGTATTCCGGAAGCCGGATGATCCCACTTGTCAGCAGCAGGCGCCAGCGCCAATCAAATCTCCCTAGTGATGTTGACAACGGGCAAGTCGAGATGGGCAATCTGACCATGAGTCGTTCATCAGGGGATGAACTCCACGTAGTAGTTAATGGATTCCGATCGGCCAACCGTCTCGCGACAGTGCCACCGAAGAACAGTGGGAGGGCTTTACCGACCCGACTCGGCTGAGCCGTCGGTGCCCGCCGCCCTCGCACGCCCATAGGACGACGATGACGACAGCAGGAGCTCGGCGCGAGCCGATTTAACTCCTGCCCCATTGTTGTAAGGTGCGTATGGCTCGAACGTGAAGCGATGTAGTAGCTCGAATTGGCGTGAACACCGGCTTGCTGCGCGGCGGGTCAACCCCATTATGCGCAGTCATCCGGAATTCACCCAATCGTTGAGCTGAGTTGCCCCGACGGTGGGATGCCGTGTCGAGGCCCAGCTGGGCGCTAGGAGGTGCGCCCCGCCGCACTGGCGCAGGGCGCGACGGCAGTGGCGGCGGTTTGTGCTGACGGCGGCAGCGCTTCGAAGCGGGAGCGACGGGCCACTGTCAGGACAAATCGTCGGGCGCCAGGCAAAATGCGGGCGCGCTGCCGCCGCGGCGCGAACGAGCCCGAGCGAGGCACGCGCCAGCGCCGCTCGCCGAGCCGCCGTCGGCGGTAGCGGACCGCGCCAGAGACTGGCCGGCGAGCGAGCGCGGTCGACGAAGAGGTGAAGCGCCCGCGACAGCAGGATGAACTGGCGGGCCAAATCGTCGGGCGCCGCTCGAGCGCCCCCAGCGTGTTAGCGAAGCGAAGCCAGCGTGCCATGGTTGCCGACGGCTCACCTATAGGTGTATATTATAGAGCCATCACCGAGGCTGGCTGGAATTTTAGAGCCATCACCTTGGGCTGGTCCGGTATTTGGGGGCTGGGGGCCAAGGTATTTTAACCCAGGCGTGGCCAAGGTATTTTTGAGCCGTCGCCCAGGCTGGTTGGAAGGTATTTTTGAGCCGTCACCCAGGCTGGTTGGAAGGTATTTTAAGGACAGTCACCCAGTCCGATGGAAGGTATTTTAAGGACAGTCACCCACGCCGTCTAACAATCGTGTTCAAGCGGCCCTCCTGTGAGCTGGTACACCAAGAATGGCTTACCACTGCCAGGGGCCTCACTGTGGCAAGCTGTGATGAGCGTGGTTTGGCTTGTGCAGCCCATACGGACGTGGTATATACACATATATGCGGCCACGTGTCGGCCGGTTCGGGGCACGAATTCCGGATTTTTCCACGGCCTAACAATCGTTGCTGTAGTGGCGCCAATGGCCGCCTCCCGTCGCGCCATTGGCACCCTAGCCAGCAGTAGCCCCGGAGGCAACACCACCAAGCCCACAAGTCACAAGAGTGACGGAGATGCTTGCCACGAGCACCGTGACGCCCGACCCTGTGAGCACCGTGGGCGTATACGGCTGCATACGGTGAGATGATGCACAGCATGGCCAGACGAGGGAAGCAAGGCTCGCCAGCTGTGTGTTAGTGAGGTATATGGATGTGATCAACATGTGTGCGTCACAGGTACGCGCAGCAGCGCATGTAGCCGCTGATATCGAAGACAGCGCAAACAGGTCTTTTTGCGCCACGCACCCGATGGCCGTGCAGGTCCAACTGCGTGCACAGGAATGCTATCAGCGCGTCTCCGCCATAACTGGACATGGCAATGAAGCAGCTGAGACGTGACAACACCGGTGCTGGGCCAAGGAGGTGCCGCTCACCGCCGATTGTTAGGACTGTCGTCGAAGGCGAGCGGCGGTCGCCGGGCAGCAGCTCGTGGCGATCGTCGATCCGCGAGCTGCCAAGCTTGTCACAGGCCGGCACTGGATCGAGGACGATGGCGCCGCGCGGCTGGAGGCAACGGAGAAAGGCATTGTGGAGCGGCGAGGCGATTGTTAGGAATTTCGAGGCGCGGAAAAATGCAGGACGGGCACAATGACTGGAGCTGCCGGTTCAAGGAGTGCTCTCCGCCGTCCGCGTCACCATTGTTCCAGCAGACAGGAGGCTACCACCGGACCCTTTGCGGCAGTCCCCGGCTTCAACCTTGGAGCCGATGATTTTGTCATCGAAATGGACGTCACGCCTCAGACTCCAGGCATGAACCAGCCGGCGGGACGATCATTGGCCGCCATAAGTCAGGCATTGCACTTGTGAAACCGCAACCTCGCACCTCACGCGGAAAAAGAGGAACCTCTTACTTAGCGCCATCGCCATGGTGCTGCAAGCAGCGCCGGGCGGGCCGCGACGGCTTCCCGCCAAACTCGACATGATCACCGTCACCCCTATGAACACCCCGATCACCCCTTCACGCTTCAGCGCGCTTGATTGATCACCCCCGGGGGTGATACTCGAGTAGTCTTCTGTCGAGCGGGGTCAAGCTCAGTTTGCCTCTCTGCCTCTCTGCCTCTCTGACGGTACACATAGCCCTCGCACGACTTCCACGCCGTGCGGCTCGAAGAGCACGGCCTCGGTAAACCGAGAAGGCTCATTGAGCGTGGCGCCCGCATTGCTGGCTCTCATTGAGCAAAGCGGCTCAACCCCTACCTCGACGTCTCGCCCATGGACAACCCAGCCGTCAAGCCACTCGAGTTCACGCTCGCCAGGTCGTCCACGCAGTTTGAGACGAAGAAGAAGGGCCTGCTCCCGCCCTCGCACGTCATGATGGGCAAGCACCTACGACGTCAAGGACTACGTCAAGACCCACTTCGACAACGTCGAGTACTCGGACCTCCTCTTCCCCGGCCCGCACGGCCCGAAGAGCATCACCAAGACAGCCTGGGTGGTTCCCATCGCCTCCCAAACCGCCTCGACTGGCACCCTCGCCGACTTCCTCCGCACGCTCGGCGCGACGGTCACCGAGGTGGATCTCGACGCGGAGGACGGAGACAGCGACGAGGAGGACGAGCGGGACGGCAACGCGCTCGTCGACGACGAGGCTGAGGAGGAGGAGGAGGAGGAGTAGGAATCGGCGTGGCGCGTCTACTTCCTGCGAGACGAGAGCGGTCGGAGGACTTACGTCGGCGCGAGTCCCGACCCCGTCCGACGACTGCGCCAGCACAACGGCGAGCTCTCGGGAGGTGGCGCGCCCGCCGCGGGACGCCGTGGCGCATTCTGCTCGTTGTGCGTGGCTTCTCCTCGAAGAGCGATGCGCTCGCTTTCGAGTGGGCGTGGCAGAAGCCGCACACGAGCCGGCACATTGCGCGACAGTGGGGTGTGAAGGGATTCGGGAAGTGCGGCACGCGGTCAAAAGTGTCGGTGCGGTTGGCGGCGCTCGCGCTGTTGCTCGTGCACGGCCATTGGGCCGCGTGCGCGCTTCATGTCCGTGTGTGTGCTCCCGAGGAGTGTGGAGAGGCATTGCCTCTCGTCCGCCGCGCCGCCGCGGGACTCACGTGCGGACCGCCGTGAAGCGAGTTCTTTGACTAATACCACATGTTGGGAGGCTGATGGGTCAAAAGCATAGATCGTCAATCGACGCGTCGCGCCGTTGCCGATCCGCACACCGAGGTTCTTGGGTGGCGCGCCCCAGCTCTTCACAACGAATTTTCTTCCACAGGGGTCAAATTTTCTTCCACAGCGCGCCGCGCGCCACACTGCTCAAGCGCGACAGAATGGCCGACCCAGCTCAGCTGTCCAGCTGCCTCGCGCAGACGGTCAATCCGGACGCGAATGCGCGCAAACAGGGCGCGCTCGAGCGCACCTCCCCTCTCCCCCTCCCCGCGCGCTCACGCGCCGCCTGCTGCCGTTCGCAGCCGAGGCGTGGCTGGAGCAGTTCAAGAAGTCGCCCTCCGCTGCCACCAGCGTGCTCACCCTGCTCACCGCCGACGGCCAGCCGCCGCACGTCAAGCAGGCCGCCGCGGTCTTCTTCAAGAACATGTGCAAGCGGCACTGGGATGCGGAGGCCTCGGAGGTGACAATCGGCGAAGACGTCAAGCAGCAGGTGCGCGACAACCTGCTCTCGCTCTTCCTCGTGGTACCCGAGTCGATCCAGGCGCAGCTCTCCGAGGCCATCTCGATCATCGCCTCGCACGACTTCCCCGAGCGCTGGCAGGCGCTGCTCCCCGCACTCGTGCAGCAGACCGGCGCGGCGCTCGGCGTGGCGCCAAAGGACTTCAAGAAGGGGACGGCGCTGCTGCAGATCGGGCACTCGATCTTCCAGCGGTACCGGCACGAGTTCAAGAGCGACGAGCTCTACAAGGAGATCAAGTACGTCCTCGAGCTCTTCCAGGAGCCGCTGCTGCAGCTCTTTTCGGCGACACTCGCGGACCTGGCTGGCGCACAAGCGGCGGGCGGGGCGGCGGGGTGCAAGCTGGTCGTTGACACGCTGACCAAGCTCGTGAGCGTCGCGCACGACCTGTGCGCGCAGGACCTGCCGGAGTACTTTGAGGACCACCTCGCCGAATGGATGAACGGCGCACTGCCCCTCCCTCCCTGCCCCTCCCTCCCTCCCTCCCTCCCTCCCTTCCTCCCGACCTCCCGACCCCCCCCCCCCCCCCAGGCTTCGTGGAGCTACTCAAGTACTCGAACCCCGCCCTCGCCGCCGACGACGACGACGCCGAGCCGGCCCCCACCTCGGTGCTGCAGGCCGCCGTGGTCGAGTCGCTCGCGCTCTACATGTCCAAGTGCGACGCCGCGGGTGGTGCCGTCGGCGGGCGCCTGCCGCTCTTGACGCGCCCTGCACGCGGCGTGCAGGTACGAGGAGGAGTTCCAGCCCTTCCTCGGCCCGTGCCTCGGCCACGCCTGGTCGCTGCTCACCTCAACCTCCCTCGCGCCGCACCACGACCTGCTCGTCACGACGAGCGTCCGCTTCCTCACCACCGTCGCCTGCTCCGTCCACCACCACCACTTCGCTAAGGCGCAGGGCCCAGACACACCACCCCAGACACCTCCCCAGACACCTCCCCGACACCTCCCCGACACCTCCCCGACACCTCCCCGACACCTCCCCAGACACTTCGCTAAGGCGGCGAGCCGCCCCTGAGGCCACGGCTATATCTCGGCTACACCTCGCGCTCCGCCTCCCACCTACTCCTCCGCGACCCCGAACGCTGCTCCGCAGGCCGAGGTGCTCAACGAGGTCTGCCACAAGATCATCGCGCCAAACATGCAGCTCCTGCAGGCCCGCGACCCGCCACCCGCCACCCTCCTCTCCCCCGCACCCTCCCCGCTCCGAGACGGCCTCTACTGCCGCGCTGCTGCCTCTACTGCCGCGCCGCTCGCAGGCGGACGAGGAGCTCTTCGAGGACCAGCCCTTCGAGTACGTGCGCAAGGACATCGAGGGCTCCGACGCAGACACGCGGCGGAGGGTCGCGGTGCGCTCGTCACGCCGCCGGCCAGCCCCGCCCCCCCCCCCCCCCACTCGCCGCCAAGCCCGCCGGCTCCCGCCCTCTCCGCAGGTGGAGCTCGTGCGCGGTCTCTGCCGCAACTACGAGGTGCAGGTGACGCAGCTCTTCTCGGCAAACATCAGCACGCTCCTCGAGCAGTACAAGCAGAACCCGGCGGCCAACTGGAAGGCGAAGGACGTCGCCATCTACCTCGTCATCGCCCTCACCATCAAGGGGGGCACGGCGGCGCGCGGCGCGACGCAGACCAATGCGCTCGTCGACCTGCACGACTTCTTCTCCCAGCACGTCCTCTGCGAGCTGCAGGCGGCGGCCACCGGGGCGGCGCCGCACCCGGTGCCCCGCGCCTCCTCGTGTCGCAGCCTCGGCGAGGGCCGCCCTCTTCACGCCCTCCGCCGGCGGTGCGCAGGTCCTCATCGCCGACGCCGTCAAGTTCGTGTCAGTCTTCCGCGTGCAGCTCTCGCGCGCCGTGTATGACACGGTCTTCCCGCTCCTCCTCTCGCTGCTCGCGTCGCCAAACCCGGTCGTGCACACCTACGCCGCTTCCGCCATCGAGCGGCTCCTCACCGTCCGCGACGCGCCGACCGCCGCCGCGCCGGCGGGCGCGCGCCGCTTCGACGCGGCGGCGCTCTCCCCCCTGCTGCAGCAGCTGCTCACCTCGCTCTTCGCCATCCTGCAGCGCGGCGGCTCGGAGGAGAACCCGTACGTGATGCGCGCGATCATGCGCGTCAGCGTCGTCGCCGAGCAGGCGATGGCGCCGTACGTGCAGGTCTGCGTCGACGCGCTCAACACGATCCTCGGCCGCGTGTGCGCCAACCCGACCAACCCGACCTTCAACCACTACCTCTTCGAGACGGTCGCGTCGCTCGTCAAGTACATCTGCGCCGCGACGCCCGCCGCCGTCAACGCGTTCGAGCAGCTCCTCTTCCCGCCCTTCCAGACCGTCCTCCAGATGGACATCGCCGAGTTCACGCCGTACGTCTTCCAGGTGCTCGCGCAGCTGCTCGAGGCGCGCGGCGGGCGGAGCGGCGACGCACCTCGGAACCCTCTCGGAACCTTTTCGGACGCCTCTCGGAGCCCTCCCCCAGGCGCGCGACGGGCTTAGCGACGCCTACTCGCAGCTCTTTCCGCCGCTCCTCACGCCGACCATGTGGGAGCGACCGGGCAACGTGCCCCCGCTCGTGCGGCTGCTCTGCGCCTACGCGGCCAAGGGCAAGGCCCTCGTCCTCGACAAGGTCCAGATGGTGCTCGGCGTCTTCCAGAAGCTTCTCGCGCGCGGCGCCACCGACCAGCACGCGGCGCGCCTCCTCTCCGCGCTGTGGCGCGCGTGCGAGCTCGCCGAGCTGCAGCAGTACGCGACGCCCATCTTCAACCTGTGCATCCAGCGCGCGCAGGGGTACAAGAAGGTTGGCCCGTCCCTCGTCTCGACTTGGTCCGTCTTCCTGGCGCGGTACGGCCCGCGCGCGCTCTGGCAGCAGCTCGAGTCGATCCAGCCCGGCCTGGCGAACATGGTGCTGCGGGGGCTCTGGGGCGAGTGGGCGCCCTTCGTCAAGGGCGGCCGGGCGGAGCGAAAGGCCGCCGTGATTGGCACCGTCCGCCTCGTCTGTGAGCTGCCCGAGGCGCGCCCCGCCCCCCCCCCCCCCCCTCTCGCCTTTACCCCCCTCTCCTTGCTCACATGCGCACGCTTGCTCTCTAGGTGCTCGCCGACGTCGACACCGCCGCCGCGCTCCTCTCCGCCGCAGCCTCCATGCTGGCGGCCGACGCTGGCGTCGGCGACGGCGGCGGCGCCGCCGCCGCCGAGGAGGAGGAGGACGCCCTCGAGGTGGACGCTGCCGGCGGCGGCGGCGGCGGCGGCGGCGGCTATGCGGCAGCGTTCGTGCAGCTCTCGTTTGCAGCCGAGGCGGAGGCGGACTTGTACGCGGAGCACACGCCGCAGCGCTACTTCGCTTCGGCGGTGTCGCAGCTCGGCGCCGCTCAGCCGGCGGCGCTCCAGCAGGCGGCGAGCAAGCTGCCGGCAGACAAGCAGCAACAGCTACAGCAGCTCATGGCGCTGCAGTGAGGCGGATCGACGGCGCGACCGCGTGGTGGGGGCTCGGCGCACCCCATGCGGCGGATGATACGTGGCACCGATGGAAGGATCGCAAAGGGGTCCGAGACCGGCCAGGCGGCCGCCGCTAGCTTTTTTTTCTCGCGCAGTTGCATGCTGCACGGCCACGGGCCACGGGGGGCAGCGGGGTGAGGTGTGGTCTGTGGTGCCGCCTTTCGTGCGAGAGCACAGAAGCGTAACCGTAAGCCGTAATACATTATAAATAAACTGTCAAAATACAAGCTCTGCTTCCCTGTGAGCTGTGACATACACGGGAAATGTGGCGGCACATACCACATATTCCGCGCCGCGCGGCGGCTCAAAACTCGTCGCTAGCTAAGAGGCTACTAGCATAGCTTGTACCTTCGAGGCTAGCACCACACTTCGAGGGACGAGGCGCGCGTCAGTCGGCTACGCTCGAGCTCCACCTCCCCGCCTTCTTCGATGCTCACCACCACGCGCGGGGGTAGTCCTCTGACGAAGCCTCGCACCGAGCCGCGCCGCTCGCCCGCCGCGCCGCGGTCGACGAGGACGGGCTCGTCGAGGCTGAGGTGTGGCTCGAGCGCCGCCGCCTCGTCCACCTCGTTGAGACCCTCATCCCACTCGTCGTCCACGCCCTCGTCGCCCCAATTTAGCCCGTCCACTTCGCCCTCTCTGCCGCCCTCCTCCTCGCCACCCCGCCCCGCCCGACCGAACGCTCCTCCATGGCCAGAGGCTCGTCTCGCCGTGCAGCTCGCCACGGCAGCCGCGGGCTGCCTGTGCCGGACTGCACTGCCCGCGCCGATCGACCCTCTACCCGTCTGGCGGCTGCCACCACGCCCCGCGCCGCCAGCAGAAAGCGGCGTGGCGGGCGCCTTGCCTGCGCGAGGGGCTCGAGCCGCTCCGTTGGGCTGCGCGTACGGCGAATCATCCTTGTGCGAGCACGCACCAAAGACGGCCAGCTCCGACTGCAGCGACGCGAGCAGCGAGTGAGAGTGCGATAGCGCGGCGTGCAAACTGCGAAGCTCGCGCTCTCCACGCAGAGCAGCGCCGTTGCCGACCCCTTCTGCGCCGCGCAAGGAGCGGATCTGCAGCCGGCTGAGCTTTGCGTCCTCCTCGAGCAGCGCCCGCTCGGCGCGCGAAAGCGCTCGCCTCATGCGGAGGGCGCTGGCCGCACCGTCTCCTCCGCCGCCGCCGCGCGTGCCTCCGCCCGGTGCGGACGGCGGCCTCGACGGGCGGCTCTTGCCCGACGGCGCGAGTTGGCGCGGGGAGCTCGACGGGCGCTGGCGCGACGTCGGGTGCTTGGCTGGGGGCAGAGCCTTGGCTGAGGCTGTTGGCCGGCGGACTGAGGGCGGCGCGCTTTTCGGCCGGCGCAATCCGCTCGCCCCGCCCCGCTCCTGCCTCCGCTCCTGCCTCCGCTCTTGTCCCCGCTGCTGCCTTCGCTCCCTCCGCTCTGACCGCTCGGAAGCGCGCGCCTTGCTTGCACGCTGCGGGGGCGCGTCACGGGCGCCGCTGTCCTCGCAGCGCACCGCACTCGGTGGCACTGCACTCGATGGCATCACCTTGACGAGCGCCGCGGCCACCGCTGCGGCGGCGGCTGCGAGCTCCGTCTCTTGCGAGCCGCTCTTCCCGGGCGACGACGCCTCGCCGCCTCGCTCTGCCCCTCCCGCCCCTCGCTCCGCCCCTGGCTCTGCTCCAGCAGCGCCGCAGCCCTCCTCGAGCAGAGAGTGGAGCTGCCGCGAGGGGGCCGCCGAAGGCGCTGCACTGACGTTGTCTGCGTCGGTGGCATCCGCGGAAGCAGCGCTGGTGGCTTCGGCGAAGCCCAGCTGGCTGTCGCTGCCGCCAGCGACACCGCCGTCAGCGACGCCACTGCCACTGCCACCACTGCCACCGCCGCCACCACTGCCGCCGCCGCCGCCGCCGCCGCCGCCGCCGCCGCCGCCGCTTCCATCCTCGGTGGCGACGCGGAGCGACGAGAGTTGCTCCTGCGGCGGCGAGGGGTTCAAGGGTCAACAAGCCAGGGAGGCTGCGGTGCGTGTGCGGAGAGGGTGGAGACGCTCCTGGAGCGTGGTTGCGATCCGCGACGTCTCTTGCATGATGTCGGCCTCGATGGCAGCGCGCTGCTCCGCCGTCATTGGCCGCGCGCGCTGCTGCAGCTGCAGCTTCTGGCTCTTGAGCCGGAGGAGGATCAGCTGCTGCCAGCTCTCCGCCAGCGCCTGCTCCGCCTCGGACGTGGCGAGCGCGCCCGCCGTCTGGTGGTGCAGCCCCGCCTTGGTGCGCACCATCTCGAGGTACGCGAGGTCCGCCTGCGGCGAGAGGGGGGCGCGTGAGGAGGACAGCTGCGTCTCGTTCTCTCGAGGCGTGCAGGTCCCGCCTCGGCAAGGTTGTCCAGGGCCTGCTCGTCGCAGGCAAGCATCGTCCGGTTCCACTCGTCGTCACCGCCACCGCTACGCACCCAATCCTCGCCGCTGACCCCACCGCCGCCGCCACCACCGCCACCACCGCCGCCGCCGCCACCACCGCCGCCACCACCGCCGCCTCCGCCGGCACCTTCCCCCCGGGCTGCTCCGCTTCCTCCGGCTCCGCTGCCGCCCCCGCTGCCGCCGCCGCCGCCGCTGCTGCCGGCTCCTCCGCCGCCGCCGCCGCCGCTGCTACTGGAAACGCCTTGCTGTGCGTCGGTCGTCCACGCAGGAAGGGGCGCGTCGTCGGTTTGCGTCTCAATCTCGCGGTTCGGCGATCGGTCTCGCCGGCCGCTCGCGGAGGGAACGGCGATCCCGTTCAAGCGGCGCTGAACCTTGGCGTAGGCTCGAATGCGCATCTGCCGCTCAAAGGCGGCGGCGCCGTCCCCAGTGCGGAGTACGTTGAGCTTCGCCGCATTGCCAGCCCGCTGCGCGCGTGCGCGGGAGAGAGCGAGGCCGCGCCGCAGCGCGGCCGGAGAGATGGCCGGCCGCAGCGTTTGCTCCGGGTGGGAGGGCTTGCGTGGGCGGTGCAGCGCCGGCACCGGCGCCTGTGGTGGCGGCGGCGTCGGGGCTCGGGCCTCTGTCGCATGCTGCTTGCGCTCGAGCAGCGCCTTGATCTCGCGCAGCCGGGCCAGTCGCATCCGGTCCCCGTGCGAGAGCGACTCGACCTCTGGCGGAGTCGCCCACGAGGCGCGCGCCGGCATGCCGGAATCCTGTCGTGCACAGTTATTGCCTCTCGCTTGAGCGAGTCAGGAGACTGGGGGGCTGTACACTCTCTGAGGCTGAGGCCTCAGACCCCCCTCTGAGGACGGGTCGGACCCCTGCCTTGGCGGCACAGAGGGTTTGACTCTGACTCTGTGCCGCCTCTATGGCCTCTCTTGGCTGCTTTTGGCCTCAGAGGGTCCCTGGCTGATGGTCCGTCTTGGCGCGGCACAGAGGGCTTTGACCTCAGAGGGTGGGGGGTGGCCCCCCCTCACGGCAGAGGCGAGAGCCCCGGGCGGAGGCGGAGCTGCCTAGCCCTCCACGAACGGCGCTGACCAGTGAGGGCGGGGAGGGGCGGGGTAGTAAAACATTACGACTTTTCACAGCGCCTCCGGAAAGGAACAGCTTTGCTTTGCTGACGTCGATCGACTGCGTCGGATCCACGCCAAGCAGCTTGGTCGCGGCCGCCGCAACGAGCTCTGACTCCGTTTTGACGCCCGCCTCGGCGCCGATCGAAAGCGTGGCACCGCCCTCCACACCGTTGACCCGGACTCTGATGCGCATCTTGGGTGCCTCGCCACAGCTGGGGCGCCTCGCGCAGAGTAGAGAAGAGACAGATTCTACAGTTCCGTCAACTCCCGCGCACAAATTCTTTTTCTGTGGTTGAGAGAGACTTGAAATGCCACCCCTCTGAGGAGCGGCCTCGCGGGGCTTGCCTTGGCGTCTCAGAGGGTCCCCGTAGCCTCAGAGGCTGCGCCGAGAGAGGCTGGCTTGGCGGCACAGGCCTTCAGAGGGTCGGCCCAGGCACCCTCTGAGCCGCTCGTGGATGGCCTCTCTTGGCACAGAGGGTACCCTCTGAGACGAGCAGATCTGGGCCCCCTTGCCTCAGACCCCCCCCCTCTGATACAACCCCCCAGTGTCAGGAGGTGCGCGACTGTATTCTTTTTTTGCAAAACCCTGGGCAGATTCTTTTTTTGCGTAGCGGCCGTGCATCATGAGTCAGTCAGTGTTACACACGTCCTAGCATGGACGACGGGGCACACGCACTCGCGGGACACAGGGCAATACACACGAGGCGTTGTGTGCGTTCTCAGGGAAAGGCATCACCACAGACAAAAGTATATCCAGCGTCTGGCGCCAGGCCGAGCGATCGGCGGCGAGCTCGGGCCACCTCGAGCGGTCGATGTGGAACTTGTCGAGCGCGGTGCGGATGCTGCGCCCAAACGTCATGTTGGGGCACCCGATCGGCCGGCCGTGAGGCACCCACGATGAGAGCATGCGACGAGGTAGGCGATCGAAACCCATCCTGCTGACATGCCCGAGCCAGCCCAGCCGGCGTCGGTCGATGTAGTAGTCGATGAAGTCGAGACCTAGCCTGGCGCAGAGTTCGCCAGTCGTGATGTGGTGCTCCCACACGTGCTTGCGAGTGACACGACACATCGCACGCACGCACTGTGCGTGGAAGACGCGGAAGCCCTCATCATGAAATTCTGCAAAAACCTGACCGGCCCCTGCGGTGCCCCTACCTACCTACCTACCTACCTACCCTACTTGTGGGTAACTAAAAAAGAAATCATGGGACGACGGGTGAAGGTGGGGTACTACCATCTCTCGGCAGGAGGTGTCGAGGTGTCGAGTTGGGAAAGAGAAAATTTCTCGACTTGGAAGACGTCGAGGTTTGGTTTCTCTGTCGAGGCCAGGGCTCAGCTCCTGACAAGGGACAGCGACAGGCTCGCAGCGCGGTGCTCGGTGGACTCCCTACTCCACTGGCGTCTCATCTCCATCCGAAAGAAAGAAAGAAAACAGAGGTCCCCAGGAGGGATGGGAGGACGG